GGGTAATCTGAACTTCTTGGTTAGGTTATTGAGTTGGTATAACAGGTACACAGTCCTTTCCAGTAATTAAAAAACTGCCTAGGGTTTATGTTGCTTATGTTAGCCAGCTTTTCATCACTGACATAAACAACCTAAAGGGGGACAGATTAATTTTGGCTCATGGTTTCAAAGATCGCCATACATGGTTGGCTGGCTCCAGGACTCTGGACCTGAGGCGAGGCAGAACATCTCGTGGAGGGAAGCTGCTCAGCTCCTGGCAGTTGAGAAGCAGATGGGGCAGGGGAGAGAAAGGGACCAGGGATAAGGTAGACCCTTCCAGATCATGTCTCACGGACCTAATCTTTCCAATGAGGCCCACCACCTAGATTTTTCCCTACCTCCCAATAACAACATCAGGTTATGAGTCCATCAATGGATTAATCCACTGTGGCTGTCAGAGTCCTCCTGAGCCAATCATTTCCACCCATAAACAGAGCTGCACTTGGAACCAAGTCTCTAACACATGAGCCTTTGGGAAATGTTCCAGATCTAAACCATAATTGTTGCATGATATAAAATGCAACCAATAATATCTATTTAGGAAAAATAAATAAATATATTTTTATTAGAAGAATGATTTGATTGGATTAGAATAAATTCAAGTCTGTTTTCCAAATGGAACATTTTTTCCAAGTAAATTTATGTTTATTCCATTTGATTTGGAGCTACAAGACAGGAGGCCCCTTTCCACACAAACTCCCTGGTTTTCATTTGAATCTACTGAATAAAGTAGGACCTAAAAATGTTAGAGTACAGCACGCACCCATGAGTCTATGAGTTTATACCTGGCTTGGCCATTGCTATGGGGTGCTGGGCTCTGTGTAACAGAGCTAGCCATACTCACATTTCCCAGTCCTCTCCAGTAGCTGTTGCTGTCCGCTGTAGTCCACTTCCCTTTTTCCCTGAGCATGGTCAAGCTTCCCATTGCCAGGCATGTGCCCAACCCCAACCATCTGCTATTCCAGGCATCATGATCCTCCTTCACTGTTGACCTCAGCCCTGTGGGCAGAAACCAGTGCCCAGGCTTAGACTGCCTTTCATAAGGTAGTTACTTCACTGCTGCAGTCCAAATGAGGAGAGAAAAAAAAAAAAAAAAGAATGAAAGAAAGAGAAAAATCTCTTTATTAGCGAGGGAGTTGTTGGCGCTACATGCTGAGTCCATTGAGAAGAACTCCCAGACCAAGTTGACCCTTCAAGGAAAGAGCGAAGACATCCCATGAAGCAATTGTTCAAACCATTTAGTGGAACTCTATTTTTTAAGGGAATCACCTGGTGGTTGACATCACTTCCTTGCTTAAAAGCACTACCGTTTTCTGTTTTAACTCGGTGATCTTTTTGTAGGCTGAACCCCTGCTGAATTCTTCAGACGTACACCACTCACCCCAGCACAGCCTCCCTGGCAGTGGGTAAATGGCAAATAAAAAGGTTCTCTCCACCAAGTCAATTGACGAGGGCAGGTGGCAAGGTACCCAAGGATGCTTTTGCTCTCCATGCTGCTTAATGTCTCCAAGATCAAACACAAAGATCATGGGAGGAACAGGTGATCAGCGGGCAACAATAGATGACTGTAGTAGGTTCTGGATGAGTTGTGCAACTCAGACAAAATGGATGGCCCCATTTAAAATGACTTCAGAAGTATCAAAGGAGGTCTCTGTAGTTACCGTACGTGCCTTCAGACTCGAACATTATTTTCCAACCCTGCTGGTGCTACTATTGAGAGTGAGAAGGAAATATGAAAACGGCTTTCTCATCACTCAGATTTCTTACCCATATGCTTTTTCCATAGAGAAACATAAGCTTTGTATGTAGGGTTTGGAATGAGGCTGAGACACTATATCCTCATTCATATAAATGTTGGGGGAGGCACAAGAAAGTAGGCGTGTTGTGTCCATCAGGTTTTCATCAAGAAAAAAATCACATCTTTTTTCCATTACTCACCAGGGATGTTGTGACCCCACTCTTCCACAGTTACCCCTAGAGAAGCAGTAATTAATATTCTGGAATTATTTGCCAATCCATTTTATTCTGCAGTGGGAATACAAACAGATCTCTATACAAAATATTTGACTTTTATAATAGCCAAAATAAAACAAATTCCCTCCAAAATATCCCATGCAAACATTTTCTTTATTTTTACTCATCTTTGAAGTACTGGTATTATTAAATAATATCATAAAAAATCAGAAAGCACAGGGGCATCAAGGGAAGAGTCTGTCTCTTTCCCACCCTAAATCCTCAATTTCCTCATCTTCTCTCCCAGGAAGAACCATGTGCCTTGTTTTCAATGCAGCCTTCCAGAGATAGACTGATTTTTATATATCTACATGTTTTCACATATTTATCATTTTTTCATTTTTAGCACAAATGAGGACCTACTAATCATGCTGTTTTGTTTCTTTCTCTTTCCTTTTACCTCTTTCTCAGGAATATTTATGTAAAGGCAGATATATATGTATATATTTATGTATTATATAAATATATACATATATATATTTATGTAAAGATGTGTATATGTATATATTTTATGTGTTATATGTATATAAATGTTTATGTGAAGGTATATATATGTATGTGTGTGTATATATCTATTTCATTCTTCTTAATGATCATGTCTCATTCCATAATATGTACATTTCAAAATTTACTTATCCTATCTCCTATTCATTAATATGTACATAGTTTTCTACCTTTTTGTTATTATAAACAATGCAACAGTTAATGTTCTTATATAGACTTTTTCTTACATGTTCAAATGTATCTGTAAAATACATTTTGCAAATGAAAAATGTTAGAGAGAAATTTGTGTATGTTTTGACATATATTAGTGAATTGCTTTCTCAACTCTTGATACCAGCGTAAACTATCACAAATAATGTATGTTATTACCCCCTACAGTTGTCAAAACATGTATGTTATGGTTTAGATATGAGGTGTCCCCTGAAACTTCACATATGAGACAATGCAAGAAAGCTTAGAAGTGAAATGATTGGGTTATGAGAGTTTTAATCTAATCAGTGTATTAATTCCCTGATAGGGATTAGCTGTATGATAACTGTATGCAGGTGGGGTATGGATGGAGAAGCTGGGTTATTGGGGCAAGTCTTTGGGGTATATAATATTTTGTCCTTGTTGAGTGGAGTGCACATGTGCATGCGCAAGCGTTCTCTCTCCCCCTCTCTCTCTCTCTCTCTCTCTCTCTCTCTCTCTCTCTCTCTCTCTCTCCTTTCTGATTTCATATCCTGAGCTATTTTCCTCCACCACACTATTCTGCCATGATGTTCTATCACACCTCAGGCCCAGAGCAACAGAGTAAACCATCTATAGACTGATACCTCTGAAACTGTGAGCCCCAAAATGAACATTTTCCTCCTTAAAATTGTTCTGGTCAGATCTTTCAATCACAGCAGTGAAAAAGCTCTCTGAAATGTTGTGCATCTAAGATTAGCTTCCTTTGTCCATATAAGACCTGTAAAAAATGCTATTTATATTTACATATGCCTTACATTAATTATAAATGAGGTTATGTTGGTTTCCATGCATGTCTCTTTGTGTGTGTGTGTGTGAATTAACATGATTTTTTCATTTATTTGAAATAGTGCCTGCATATTATATTGAGTTATATGCAATTTTCACTTTCATTGGTCAGGAAGAATTAAAAATCAGTTATTTTATATGGTATAACTGAGGATATAGATTGATAGATAGCTGTATCCAAAATCTGATTAATATAGCTTAAAATGCATAATGAGATGACTTCTTGCTCTTTTTCAGGAATATCTTGGCTGCTCTTCCATCTAATTTTTACATATGAACATATACTAATATCATTTTTTCTAAGCAAATTAATATTTGCATTTTAAAATGTCTATTAAGTTACATTTATACTTTAATTTAGAGACAATTTTCTAATAGGAGTAAATTTTCCTAACCTTTTCTTCTGGGATACAAAAATTTAATCTTGTAAAACTAACAGATCAATGGTATCTCTCAGTAGACAATTTTTGTTTCATATAGGACTTGTGCATTCTGTCAATTTTATTCCTAGATATTTTATAAATATTAAGACAATTGTAATAAGTTATTTTTCTTCTATTTTCTAATTTTAGGTCTCAGAGAAAATATACATTTTTACTATTGATTTTATAATCTAATACGTAATTAAAATTTTCCCTTAATAATTGTTATTTAATTTAATAGATCTTCCAAATATATAATCATTCCATCTGCATATTACCATATTTTTATAATTTTCTTTCTTATATCTAATTACATCAATTTGTATTTCCAAACCTAATAGTCTATTATTAGGAAAGACTCTACTTTTTGCTTAGAAAGAGAAAGACCTATTTTTCAATTTCTACTTAATCTTTGATTAAGATTTTTATGCAATAGTTCTGTTAAACTTTATCAAATACCATTATAGAATATCCTTCACAATAAGTAAAAGAATTACATGACTTTTTTCTCTCTATTAATAGCTAATTTTATTAATATAATTACTAAAATCTAAGTAATTAAAATTGAACCATCCTTGAATTCCTGATATAATTGCATTTATGGTAGCACAGTCTTTTCTCATATGTTGCTGAATACCAGTCATAAAATACTTTTCTATTTCAATATTTGTAAGTAAAATTTGGTTTTATCTTTTTTTAATGTTATTGGTGCAATTTTGGTTTCAGAGAAAGAAAATTAAAAGTTCCCCATCTTTCTAAAGCACTAGAATGCTCTAGAATAATTTAGAGAACATTTGAGTAGTTCAGTCTTTAAAGATGAGCACAATTTCCCTGTAAAGTTGTCTGGGTCTAGTGTTTGGACTGGCATTAAGGGAGAAAATGTCTTTGGCAAAAATTTTTTCTTTATTCTAACCAAATATTTTATTTCTTCTTCATTATTTTATCATTTTATTATAATTTTTCTTTCTATATAAGTTTAAATTATTTTATATTTTCCCAGCTTTTCAATAAAATAGATCATTGAGAATAAAACATAATAACATTGTAAATGTATTTTGATGAACTATTTTTAAAAACATTCAAGATAATTATCACTTTTGAACAAATATCTTTAGATTTATTTGTGTGACTTTTTAGTTCCTAGAAATTAGTGATAGGCAAAATCAAGAGACAGAGAAATTAATTTTGTGAGTGTATGTTTTATATATAATATATGTATAAGAGAGCTTCTGACATAACTAACAAATTGCAATTCATTATTATATATTTGCATGAAATTTTAAAGACTATTGTGGTTTTATTATTTACAGTCAAAGAAATTCTGAAACAAATGTAATTTGCTTAATTTTTCAAAGTTAATGAAAATTGGGATAGGACTGGAGAACATGTCTCAGAATTCTAAGATTATTTTCATTCTACTATATCCCTTTCTTTCCTCAAATAGCATAAAGTGTGTATGAATAATTTTAACTTTATAAATTATCATTTAAATATATCTGACCACTTTTTAGTAAGTATTCCTAAAATAAAATATACTATCAATAAGCCAAAGGAATTTTTAAAAATTTCTCTTCAACATATCTATTCAATATAAGTAATTACATTTAAAAACTAATTTCTATAAACTATAATTAAGATAGTATTTATGATAAGTGATCCCATTTTCTATGATATACAAAAGAAATGCTTATAACTTCTGTCTTAGTCTATTTAAGATGCTATTCTAAAACACCACAAACAGGAAAGCTTAAAAACAACAGTGCTTTGCTTCTCACAGTTCTGGAGATAGGGAATTCAAGATCAAGGCAGATTTGGTGTCTGGTGAGGGCCCACCTTCTATGGACAGTGCTATCTTGCTGTGTCCCCACAGGATGCAGGATGGGAAGGATGTGGTCTCTCTTAGGCCTCTTCCATAAGGCATTAATTCCATCTGAGTGTTCCACCATCATGACTCAGTCACTCCCCAAATTTTCCATGACCTAGGGGATTAGGATCCCAAAATATTAATACTCAGGGGGAGGGTAGAAACAGTCAGACTACAGTAACTATCAAAAAAGAAATACATAAAACTACAAAAAAATGATAAAATATAATGTCACCTTGAGTTCTGTGGTTCGTTCAAGAGAAATGTTAACAATGATCAGGAGTGGTTCTGATACATTCATATAAGAGGTAAAACTTTAGTTGAGAACCCTCCTTAAATACAATAGCTTCTGATGACATTTCTGAATTGTGGAAATAATTTTTCAGTTTTCAAAGCAACTATGGACACATAGGTATAGACATGATATTTCAATGGTATATTATGAAAAAAATGATTTTTTCCTGAATTATTTGGAATTTTAAGCAAAGAAAAGTCTGTATTATGGGTGCCATTTGCATGATTATGGGTTATTAGATTCTGAATTAAATGGGCTATTAGACTCTGAACTGGGTTAGAAGCAGACACCAGTATCACAGACTCCTTTTTTAAAAAATATTTTATTTGTTTTAATTAGTTATACATGACAGTAGAATGTATTTATGTACTTTGATATATCATACATAGATTGGGTATAATTTCTCATTTTTCTAATTGTACATGTTGTAGAATCACATCAGGTATGAAATATATATATATATATATTTTTTTTTGTTTGTTTGTTTCATTTTACTGTCCTTCCTATCTCCATACCCCATCCCTCCCCTCCTTCACTCCCCTCTACCTAATCTAAGGTAATTCTATTATTCCTTTGTACCCCCTCATTATTGTGAATTAGCATCTACATATTAGAGAAAACATTCAGTCTTTGGTTTTTGGGGATTGGCTTATATCACTTAGCATGATATTCTCCAACTCCACCCATTTATTGGCAAATGCCATAATTTCATTCTTCCTTAATGCTGAGAAAAATTCCATTGAATATACATACCACATTTTCTTTATCCATTCATCTTTTGAAGAACACTTAGGTTAGTTCCATAGCTTAGATATTGTGAATTGAGCTTCTATAAACATTGACATGGCTGTGTCACTATAGTATGCTGATTTTAAGTCCTTTGGGTATAAACTGAAGAGTGGAATAGCTGTGTCAAATGGAGGTTCCATTCCAAGTTTTCTGAGGAATCTCCATACTACTTCCTTTAGTGCTTGCACCAATTTGCAGTCCCAATTCTTTTGGTAAGTAGATCCACTCCCTTTTGTAGCCTTTATATAGGCAATATAACTGGCTGATGTTGGATTAGGTAAAATAAGATAAATAGGTTCTAGATTTGGAGATATAGGGATCCCATAATTCCATGAGAACTGAGCAAAGAGCCATTCAAGCCTGAAGTAGTTTAAATGTTCATAAAAATTTTGTACATATCAGCTTGCACCACCATCCTCTTAAGTACCCACATTTTATGAAGGATGGGAAATGTGGGTTGGTGAAAGAAAATTAACTCAAAAAGATTCTGATCCTATGTTTCCAGGTCTTGGATCCTTTAATAGCCTTTAATATGCCACAGCTAGAAGTCTCTATTACCCATATCAAACATCAAAAACCAGAATAATCAAAATGAGCCACAGATAAAGAATAAGCTGTTTCCATCATCATCTTCTCAACTGTATTTAACTATGGCAATAAATTATATGGAAGCAGGTGTACGTTACCCAAGACATTCTCTATATACTCCTATACATTTCTCCGTATACTTTCACTTTTCTATATTTTATCTATGGATAATTGAGGCAATTTCAAATATTTTGTTTTAAGCCACTTCAGTTAGTGGAAGAAGATATAAATTATTTCTGCCTGCCTGTGTTTTTTACCACTTTTTAAATAAAATAAATTTCTGCCTGAATAATGTTGTTCCTCAGGAGTGTGAACTTACCTACTATGTCAGTCTTGGTTACTGAATGGTGAACAGGGCAATAAATATTACCATGATTTTGCACTGAAGCCTGGTAGAGAAGGGGGATCATACACCTTCAATGACAGCAGAAGCCATTGCATCCTTCCAGACTTTGGTCTCCTTGCCTGTGAAAAGAAAGAGGTGACCAAATTAACTTGGAGATCCGTGACTGCCTGTTGCTCAGCTGCTCCTGGAACACAATATTTGATTTCTGACTTATATCTCTTCTAGAATTGCAATCTTCCTGTGTAATGTAAATTTCAGGTCTGAAGAAGCTGAGAAAGAAGACTCTTTCCAGAGAACAACCAGGCTCAAGGAACCAGTTGATCTAGAGGAGGAAACAAAAATACCCATTATTTTGAACATAGACCCAAATTTCACCAATTGTTTCCTAGCCTTCTTCCCAGCAAATAAAAAGTAATCTGTTCCCATTGTGTTCACCTCTTTCAGTATGGAATAGAGGCAGAGACTAGATTCCATTCAGACTAGTATGAGTCTAAAGATTGCTTTTTACTTCCTCTCTAGACATCCACATGTATGTGTGGTAGGAAACACACACACACACACACAACAACAACAACAACAACAACCTTATCTTTACCTCTAGTTTGCATATCTTAAATATTAAATGCCCCCCCTTTTGCAATAAAATATAATATACACTATTGAAAGAAAAGTGGCACAGGACTAATCACACACATACCTGGGATAAGAAGTGGGTTTATTGTCAGAAGCCTGAGAGATTGCTCTGCTCAGAGAAAGACAGCAGCAGCAGCTCCCCCTTGAATGTTATCTTTTATAGGTTAGAATCATAGTCACCCATTAGGAGTGGCTTTAGTTTTGCTGACATAGCAAGCATCCTCTGATTTTGTGAAAGGAAAGTTTATTTCTTGGGAACAGAGACAGGCAGTTTTTCTATCTTTCAGAAGGGGGAACAGGGAAAACAGCAGATCCCTTTATCTTCTCAAGGAGAGAAAAGGAACCAACAGTCCTGAGAGTGGTAAGTTGTCTCCAACCTCTCAGTGAGAGAACAGGGAGAGACTGGCAGGTCTCCAGACCAGCAGGTTTTATCTTGGGCTAGTTTCTATTTCTTGAGAATAAGAACAGTATTCATTAAGTAGGGGTGGGGGAAAGGAAGGTTTCTGTAAGTAAGCTAACAAATATTAATTCAGTTTCACTCTCATAATAGATCAACTGGAAAAATCCACCTTCATGACCAGGAATATTCTGTACTGCAATATGCAGAATTGTGAATGTACTCAGTATTTATTCTTAGAATCAACTGTGATCCATGAACTAGTTAGATAATGAATGTTAATGATAGAAAAGAAAAAGGATGTCAATGTTCATGATGCCACAGGAACTATATAGATAGGTGTAAAATGTGGTTTCTGTTACTTCCCATGGGGAGCTGTAAGTAAAGTTGTGTCCAAGGGAAGGACAGTTTATTCATGAATAAGGTCATGACCACAAGACGTGAGAGGGGAAAGCTCCCAGAATTGTATGGTTCTTAACTGTTTCGGTGCTCAGATGTCACCACCTGTGACACGGCCGTGAGTGATGAGATCCTGGCTTTTCTGTTTCTGAATTTTATTGGAAGCAATGAAAGACCCATTGCCTACCACCTACTGCCATGGTGCAGCGAAAATCTTCAGGACACCATGTCAGGCAGACAAATGTGGCTGGTATCTCTGTTTTATTGTCAATTGCTAGGATAACATTGTGTGAATTATATTTCCATTTCTTTATTCAGCAAGGTGGAAAATAGCTCTTTGTTCTCACATCCTACAGTTATAAAGACAGCACTGATAGAAAATTGGCTGTGGGAACTGCCAGTAAAATGGGACTAAGAGGCATCAAATTGCCGAAGGCACTTTGCAATAATTAAAAATGTTTATGAATTAGGTACACGGCAAAAGACAGTACAAATAAAACAAGGGATAAAGACATTCATAAATTTAATCTCCAAGGTAGAAGGGAGAGGGGGTCAAGGCAGAGCCCGTGTTTTAGATGAAGGAGTACCCTATTATGCTAAGAATGCTCTTTGAAACCTTCACATTTGTATAATGGTTAAAAATGATAACAGTACTTTCACTTTTTTTCTAATAGACATTGAAATTATACATTTTATTTAGAAAATCTTAAATATTGAAAGCAATTTTAAAAAGTGGGAAGAAATAGTGTTTTTCTTGCAAAGCAGCACTCTAGAACACTTTGCCCAAAACTGACCTGGAGCTGCTAAAATGAAGTCTGTGTTTATTCCTGGCTCCTGGCAGTACCGAGTGGCAAAAGTGGGAGCCTAACTAGGAATGAGAAAACAGACGTCCAGACTGGCCACTTTGAGCTGTGTGATCCCAGGCAGTTGATTATACCTTGAGACATGTTTCCCATTACCTAAAGAATGGGTACAATCATCTCTGCACCACTAACCTATAAATGGGTGGGAAGAATGATGGGAGGTAATTACTACCGATACATTTTGATTAGAGTAAGCCAGAATAAGCAGAATATCAATCATTGGTTCATTTTTTTCACAAACATTTCACTGAGTGCATAAGGTATGATGGGCTCTGTTTTCAGTGCAGAGAATTTCAGTGGTTAATCAAATGCTTCTTTTCTACGATGCTACATTTTTTACGGAAGAGGAAAACATAAATAAATTATTAAATATAGAATATCGGGGAGTGATAAATGATAAGAAAAGTAGTAAAGCAGAAAAAGGAAATCGAGTTCCCATTTCTGTGCAGAAACTCTTCTGGATGAATTTTTAGTAAGACTTTTCTGTGGTGAGCTGCTCTTTGAATAGAGATTTCTTCTTTCTAAATGATAGATGAGAATTTTTCACATTTATGGGATACCATGTGATATTTCACAACACGTATTCCCTGCATAATGTTCCAACCAAGGTAAATACATTATCTCCTCAAAGATCTATCATTTCCTTATAGTAAAAACATCCAAAATCTTTTCTTCTAGCTTTTGTAAAATATACAGTACGTTATCTTTTTCTATAGTCACCCTCCTGTGCAATCGCACCCAGAATTTCTGGCTTCTGTCTACCCATGTCTTAGTCCTCATTAATCAATATGATTCCATTCCCTCCCACTCTCAGGCTCTGGTACCTACAATTCTACTGAGTAGTGGACTTATTTCCTGAGAAATGAAATGTGAGGATCCGAGGCATGAGAATTAACAGTTAAAGGATCAGCAAGCACAAAGAACTGAGGCATGAAAATTCTTGGTGTGTTTGAGCTGCATCAAGATGGCCAATAAGGCTGAAGCAGAATGAAAATGGTAGTGGAGAGGGAAGAATAGTGATAAATGAAGTTGGAGATGCCAGGGCAGGGCACGGGTACGGCCTTAGTTTGCTATTGCAACTGCAATGGGAAGTCACTGGAAGGTTGTGAGCAGTGGTGGCCCAATTTCCTTATTTCTACTTTAAATGGATCTTTTTGGTTGCGATGTCATGGAGTAATGGTGGACATGGAGATGTCTTCAATAGTCCAGTTCACAGGTGATGGTGACTGGGACTAAAGTCCGTGCAGTAGGTGATAGATTTGGGACATGATCTGAAGGTAGAACCTAAGAAAGAGGTTATTAAATAATTCCTTGTATGTTAGTAAGTAGATTTTTGAGTGTGGAAGTGGTGTTCTCCCTAATAAAAGTATGGAGGACAGTAAGCCTTTCTTTCACTGGGCTCTTCTGACCTTTTAGATGCTTCCCTCAGTCCATGCAGGTTGTTTTGATCTAAACTTCAAGTACCACTGGAAAGAACTAGGGGGGAAAAAATCGATAGCTGTATCTACTGATCTGCAATCTTGACCTTGACTGCTCTTGGCCTGCCGATTGGTAATAAATCAGAGGGAAATCAGCCAACCTCTACTTCAAATGAAAAAAAAAGATGAAAAAAATTAAAATGAGCAAGGAAATTATCTGAGATCAAAGTGCCAGAGAGCCTGTTTTGAACATTAAAGTGTGGAGAGATATAAAATAGTTATATTGGAGAGTAGGAATGTAAATTGACTAAGGAAATGTAGTGAGACAAATGAGCATGATAATGACCAACTTGAAATTACTGGCGATTAGTTAACATTAGATCAATTCTCCTAGCTTTGTATTCTTCTCATCCATATACAGGTGCTTGCACATAGGAACGTAGGGGTTAAAGAGTTGCATACAGCCATCTTGGGGTTTTTCCTGGAACTATGTTGCAATAAAAAAGGGAGTTGAAGAACCATTGAATATAAATTGAATAAGGAGACATCAGTGGTACCAGAGTGGTTAAGGTGGTTAGGTCAATAGACAGAAGCACTCTTGGTGTGGAAGAGACCAGAAGGAGAGATGTGAAAAGATCTGAAAGAGTTTGAAAGTGTTCAAAGACAAAATTCTTGACATTGGTGGCACCATTGTTGGTAATTGAGCAGGTTTTGTGTTTCGCCTGGGACTGATGTCCACATACACACTCTACAGCTAGAAAAGAGAATACACTCAGCATGTTTTTTTTTTTGTCTGATAATTGATTCCAGTAGAGAATGCCACATAAATTTTAAGACTCAAATCCTTTGTGATACATTTTTATTTATAATTTGGTTCCTCTATTAAGTATGTATTAAATCTGATACATACATACACTTTTAAGAAGTGTCTAGGATATTTTCTCTGAGAAGAATGGAGAAGGGGGTGAATTCTTTTGCTGTAAAGATTGTTTGGGGGTATTTCTGGGGCTTCAACCTGTAAGTCTGACAGCATTATTTCTTAGAACTCAAATTTTTGTTCTAAGATGAAATGTTCTTTATAGACCTTAAATTAATTCATCTGTTTCCTCTCCCTCCTCCTCCTTCTCTTTCCTCTTCCTTCCCTTCCTTTACCCCTCTCTCCTTCTTTGTTTTCAGATAGAGAGATATACTGAGACAAGTTTAAATAAATAAATTGAGAGGTAGATAAAAACAATAAAATTTTTATAGTAGACTAATTCATCCTGTGCAGTAAAATTTACCTAAAGTCCATTGTAAATCAAACTGATGGACAGAAGCTGTTTTTTAGCATAAAGGGAATAGTATACCCATGAAGCAAATACATTCCTAGGGCTTATGGGACGTTAGACTGTAGGACTGTAACTTCCAGAAGTTGAAGAAATACACACAAAATACAGAATAGAAAACAATAAGTAGCCTTGTGTTATAGACAAAGACAAATCACCATGAAAGATGTGACTGTATGGTAATATGAATTAATACTTTTTAACATAAATTACAGGTAACTTACAGATAACAACATAACTTACAGATCCACAATGAGAGTTTCTCCCCTTCAGAACAGCCACGTTGGCAGGTAACGTTGAGGCCAGACCCTAGGAGGGGAGGGGGACATCATGCCAACCTGAAAGGAGACATCAGTCTGGAGAACATCCTCTGACTGGCTACTCCCTCCATCCTCTTAGAACTCCTGCTTCTGTTTCTCACAGCTTCAATGGAGCAGCCCTTTCTTAGTTACCCTTGCCCTTGTCCCTAGCAGCAGCAAACCACAAGTAAACCCCTACCTGAAATGCTTCCTCTTTCTAATAGAGGTAAAAACCCACCAGGTGAGATCAGTCCTCTTTATATGTAAATAGGGGTTCAAAAATACGCATTTCTGGTTGACTTATTAAGCTCAGAGTTTGAAGTGCTTAATTGGGCCACGCTAGGTATCCCTCCCCGAACCAATCACCTGCACCGAGCCTTCAGATATGCCTTTAAAAACCCCTGACAACAAGCACCTGTTGGCATCCCTCTCTTGGGGCCCCACCCCTGTAGGAGCTCTGCT